TATATATTTGTATTATTTCATACTCTGTTTTTTACCTCTGTTTTCCTCACCCCTCTTCTCATATCTCATCTTTCCTCACGGCGCTCCCCCGCTTACTGCTTGAATACACACCCCTTCCCCATCATATTCATAGCGTTTTGTTGGTAATTGATCCGCGAAGCTTGTACGTTCCCCGCCCGGGGGTTTAAAATTTGCCAAATTGGTGCTCGCTTGCGAGCGGCTTCGGGCCCGCCGCCGGCGCGCAGGGCGTGGGCGTAGCAGATCTCGAAGCGCAGGCCGCGCGCGACGGCGGCCATGCAGGGCTTCGGGCGGAAGTGAAAGTCGAAGCGCGCCGTCAGGTCGAGGGAGATGAGGGCCGGGTCGGCGAGGGCTAGGCAGGCGGAGGTGAAGGCGCGCTCGTTGGTGGGGCGGACGGCGAGGAGGTCGTAGGCGGCTGCGAGGCTGGGCATGCGGTGGTTCTGGGCAGGGTCGGAGTAGACGAGGGTTGCGCGGTGGAGGATGGTTGGGCGGCGTGGGGTTGTTGGGTTTGCTGGGTGCGGCGCCCTCGCGGAGGAGGAGGAGGAGGAGGAAGATGATGTGGAGGAGGCGCCGGCGTCGAGCTTCGGCAGCGGGTTGGTGATGGTTGACGGCAGCGGCCCATCTATTATGTGATTCAGGGCAATGACGTTGTAGCCGAGGGCTGCGCTGAACGTGATGGTGTTTTCGAGGTCTCGGGTCGTGGTCGAGGGGGACCAGGGGATACTGAGGTCGTACAGCATTGTGGGCTATGGGTTGGGCATTGGCTGTTGTGTGGGGAGATGCGAGATGGCCGAGTGGAAGACGAAGACGCTGGAGTGTAGTGTCCGTGTTTCGTGTGGAACAATGGGTTGAGGGGGCGGGGAAGGTTTGATGTTGACGCTATCGTGAGGTTCCAAGGATTCGGCAAAGCAAAAAATCTGAGGACTGAAATAAGCTCGTATGTACATATACATAGTACTCCAGGCAGGTAGATCGCTGCTCTACAGCGAGCCTGCCCTGCAGCTAGCGACTTAGCGGGCGACCCCGCCGTGGCTGCTACGGTTGTGCCTGCCCCAGCGCGCTGGACGCGTTCGCCAGGGGAGACGGCAGAACGGGTCGCACCTGCCCCAGCGGTGCCAAGCCTGCACTGCCCCCTGCTGCGTAAGTGCCAGGCCTCGACCCAATCGGAGCCGCGGGCTTCACCCTTGCACCTCGCCCCGCAAGGGCCTCCCGCGCTCCGGTGCTTCCTACTCCCAGGCCTGCCTGAGCCTGAGCCTGGAGTCTGGAGTCTGGCGCCCGAAGGTTGAACGTTGAACCTCCCTTTCACTTCTTGCGCCCCCAAACCTTCGTCAAGCCTGGCGACAAACCACGATCCTTACATACCTCAGCCGACTCATCACGCCACCTCACGCAGACGGGTTGCTCAAGTTGCGCGACACACCTCGACTTCTTCAAGAAGCGCCAACCCAGCAGCATCGTCCGAGACACGCCTTGCGACACCGCTCTCTCCGTCGCATCAGATCAGCCGCAGATCGCCAACGTGCTGCTGCCACTGCTGCCGCTGCCTCGGCCTCGACCCTGCCACAGCCATGTTCTTCTTCTTCGTGTGCGGCGAGCACACCTTCCGCAAGCAGGTCGCCGGCTATGAGGGCATCGTCTGCCAGTGCTACAACTGTGGCAACATGGCCGGCCATGTCATCAAGACGCATCCCTGGTTCACCTTTTGTTGGATCGTACGTTTCGACCTCTTTCGTCCACCGAGGGGGACCTCCTTTTCCCCTCCATTCAACCACTTCTCCGCAGCTAACGAGTGCGTGCCGCAGCCCGTCGTCCCCTTGTCCATGAAGGGCTACACCGATGTCGTCTGCAGCATCTGCAACTTTGCCCAGCCGCTCGAGAACCGCCCGGACGTCATGGGCATGGCCAACGGCGGAGGCGGCGGATATCCGGTGCCGCCTCCGCAGGGGCACCCACCGCAGGGCTGGGGCCAACAGCCGCTGCCACAGCAGGGCCCGCGATACGGATAGGCGTGTCCGGGGGCGGCTTTCCGGGGTGGCTGTCCGGGGACGGCTGTTCGGGGACAGCTGTTCGGGGGACGGCTGTCTGGGGGATTGCGTGTTTCTACCCGAGGAGCACGGTGGCGAGAAGCCATACTGCGTTGCTTCCTTTTCAGACCCAGGAACAGGAGTAGGGGCAGGGAGCAGGTACGAAGGGCGAGCTGGTGTTTCTTTTCTTCTCTTTTTCTCCCCTTCCTTTTTTACGTCGTCATACCCCCCTTGAGAGGCGCGGACGAAGGCTGGCTGTGGTGGCGAGAGTCGTTGCAGCTCGTCGCGGACCCCTCCAACCCCACTGGCGAGGCGTTCTGGGGTACCAATGCTTGTAAGGATATCACTGGGTTTTTGCATGATTTGGTCATAGTTGATGAGCTCGGTTTGACGAGGCGGTTTCTATTTCGGCTTGTCACGCACATGTTGTATGTCTTTACAGTGTTGAATGGAACAATGTTCCCCTGTTGCAATTTGTTGTGGCGTCACATGATAAATGGCAGTCACGACTGATACCTAGCCGAAGAGTACTTATAAACGATTATCCAACCGAGGAAATGCATTCATGATTGCTTGCTATGCATGATCCTTCTCATATATGTAGGACTGCTTCCATCCCATACGAGGCTGCCTTGCTCCCTTCACACGGCCGGCCGTCAATGCCCAACACCTCCTGCAACCCAGTCGTTGAACGCAGGGTTGCCCTGAGCCGGGAACATGCCCCGGTCCTCTTGCGCCGGTGGCGGCGGCGGCGGCGGCTGCTGAGCCTGCGCATTCGGTGCTATTCCCTGCTGCTGCTGGAGGCGCCTCGCCTCTTCGTCCCGGCGATGGCGTTGCTGCATCTGTTGGCGGTAGTAGAGCAGAAGCACGAGGCAGATACCGATAAAGACGATGAGGAGACTCTCCGTCATGTCGTCCTCAAAGATAAAGTCATCGCCAGCCTCGGCGTGCGCTGCCGTGTCGTCGTAGATGTCATCGTAAAAATCTTCCTGGTTCCAGAATGCGTTGTCATCCTTCATGAAATTGGAGATCCATTCACCCAGCGACCAGTCCTTCTTCGGTTCTGCATTCACATTAGTTGTGGTTCTTCAAAGCCAGACGGCAGATTCTGCGCAAGATCACGTACCAGGATCGTCTTGGATGGAGTGAATGGGTCCACGGGTGAAAGTGTTCCAGGCGCTCTTCAGGCGCAGCCTGAGGAGCGTCAACTTCACGGGCAGGTAGGCCTCCTCGTTGACTTCGAGCGCCTGGTCGTAAAAGCGTTTGGCAAGGTGGTAGTCCTGCGTAAGGCCGATGCCGTGCTCGTGCATCCATCCCAAGTTCCATAGCGCCTGGGCGCTCTGCGAGTAGTCGGACGCGCCGGTGTAGCACTGCACCGCCTTGCCAATGTCGAGCTCGGTGCCGACGCCGTAGTAGTAGTAGTCGCCCATCTTGACCTGGGAGTCTACATTCGACTGCCTCGAAGAGCGCGTCCAGTACATGAGCGCCAGCCTGGGGTTGTCCAGCAGGGCGGGACGCGGTGCGGGCTTGATGAGGCTCGACAGCGAGAGTCTGGCCTGCGTCGGGTCGAGCATGTATGCGACATTGTTCTGCGCGCGCTCGTAGCCTTGTTCGGCAGCGAGGACGTACTCGAGGAATGCCAGTTCAGAGTCTCCTTCCTCGTAGGCCTGGTTCGCCTCAGCCCACGACGACACCAAAGGTTCGGCCTTTTCGGCAACATTCTTGTAGTACGCCAGAGCAACAGAGCAGGTCTTGTCCCTACCAACACCGTGGTTGCTCATCTCAGCCAGGTAGTAGTGAGCCTCTATGAGGCCGTAGCGAGCAGCCAGCTCAAAGTAGTTGCTGGCGATCCGCACATCATCGGCACCGCCTTGGTCAAGGTAGAGCACGCCCATCTCAATCTGCGCCGGGGCGTAGTCCTGCTCCGCAGCGGCCTTGAAAAGCTCCGTCGCGGCCTTGACGTTCTTCGGAGCATTGCCGTAGCCATGGAGCTTCATGAGGCCGAGACCATACTGAGATTGGGCATCGCCGAGCTTGATGCCACGGCCGAACCATCTGAATGCCTGCTCGAGGCTCTGGTCCACACCATCGCCTCTCAGGTACATACGGCCAATAAAGCCGGCTGCCCTGCCAGCGATCTTTTCGATGCCGGGCTTTGGGGTATCGATGATGCGGCCATCCTTCTTCCAGTAGCGCTTAGCAACCATGAAGAAGTACTTGCGTGCCATGTCAACGTTGCGGGCCAGGCCCCGCTGTCCATCATAGTATATCCGGCCGAGGTTGAATGAGGCCTTGAAGTCTCCCCTCTGCGACATGAGATCGAGGTACTCAATGACATCATCAATCGCCGCGTTGACATCCGAGTTGACGCTGGCCTTGATGGCGTTGAGACCAGCACTGGACGCGCTGGCTCCCTCGCCATAGACGCCGCCCTCCTCGTCGGCAATGCGATACTGCTCCACGATCCAAGCCATACCACCGGGAGGTCCCGAGCGGTACCACTTGATGGCCTTGTCGGCCACCTTCTTGTAGTACTGCACGGCAGTCTCGCAGCTCTTGGCCGTGGCGACGCCGCTGTGGTGTCTGTATCCAATGGCCATCTCGGCCTTGGTGTTCCCCTGAAGCGCGGCAAACGTGTAGTAGAGCATGGCCTTGGCCGAGTCGGGGGCCACGGCGCCGCCCAGTCCGGTGGAGTAGAAGACGGCCGTCATGTGCTGGGCCGTGGCGTTGCCATGTGTGTCGGCTAGGGTCTTGTAGTGGCTGAAGGCGGTCGTCAGATCTCTCGGGTAGGAGTAGTTGCCGTAGAAGTTCATGTCGGCGAGGATGTAGAGGGCATCGGGGTTGTTGAGCAGTGCCGACTGCTCGAGTAGCTTGACGGCGTCGAGGAGCTGCCCACTCACGACGGGCTTGCTCTGTTCTGTGGGCGGCGCGCTGACCTCGAGACTGGGGAGCGCGTTGACGACATAGTCAAGGACGGTATCGAGGATGCTTCGTTGGCGGCGCGTTCGCGTACGGGTTCGGCGCGGGATCTTCTTGAGCGCCTCCAGGGCAGTATCTACCAGGTCCGCTCCTGTTGAGATTTAGCTGGCGCCCTTTGCTTGTCACAATACGATAGGCCTTCCCTACCTGGGTGTCTTCGGGGTGGCTGTTCTTGTGCCGGAGGGACCGGGACCATGCCGGCCGTTGGTGGGGATTTTTGGGTATCGTCATTCGGCGTCGCAACAGCTGGCTCATCATCTTGAGCTACCATTACTTTCTGTGCATCCTGGGAAGTGACGGTGGCGACCTGCAAGAGCACTAGAGTCGAAGGTCAGCCTTGGGGGGGAAGCTCCATGTGGCTTGGGACATGCGCATGGGGACTCGGGGACAACATACGGAGTAGCCAGACAACGGAACCTTTCATACTGGGCAGTTTCTATGTGCCGGGACTCAAGAGAAGCACTCGCGACATGTTCAGTCGCAATGGGGAGTGCAGGAGAGCGTTGGTGGGGTTGTTGGTATGAGGTTCGGCAGATGCTGGCTTTCGAACAGATGTCCGTTATGATGCTCCGAGCTCCACGGACCGGGGTGGTACCTGTCGCGTGCTGTCCACTACCAGAGCACTACAGGACCAGGTACGCTTAGGTACACAGAGTTCATGTCGGCTTATCTAATGCGTGCACTCTATGCCTTACCTCATATATGATCGAATCAAAGCTATACTGTCGCAAATACTGTCTGTCAAAAGTATAAAGCTGTATGTACCTTTATTCGTAGTTGATCTAAGTCTCAGCCCGTAGCGGCATCAACAGTCTGCGGTTCCTCGACGAGGCTGGCGCTTCCTGCTTACCCAAAGGCAGCGACGACCCCGTCGTATGCATAGCCCGACCAGGAGCGACCCGATCTGAATTGATCCTGGCTGGCCAGACACAGCAGGCAGACAAGCGAAGCCTCGATGCAGACGGAGGCAGCCCAATGGTGACCCCCTCAACACCGCCCGCCAGGCGTTCTGGCTAGGCTTTCTGCACAGTAGCATCACATCCAGTCATGCGTGCAGCTAGTGTGTTACTGCCGATGCCCAAGAACTCGCATGGTTGCCTTTTCAGCTCGGCGAGCCCCCAAGAAACCAGTGATGACCACCGATATCTTCAAAACGGCCGAGGGTGTCGAGGGGTCCCTGAGTACACCCGCACCTGGGACCTACTGACACGCACAATGCACCATGTCACCATCGCCCGAGGATGACACCGCGATCAAGTTCAATCTTCCGCAGAGCAGCGCCAACGTCGAGGTAGCTTCGGAGGGGTTCACTACCCTTTGGTCGGCTCTCGAGGCGGAGACTGAGTGAGATTAACAACCGCCTCATTTTTCGCACCGTCTTGTCCTCCGCTTGCTGATAGTTGGCCACTCATTGTAGCATAGTATTCATCCATGGTCTCCAAGGCCACGCCCAAAAAACGTGGCACTATGGTGCGCTCGAAGAGTCGGGCCGCGGCCTTCTCCGAATATTCCAATCGTCGCAACGCCAACACCGAAAACATGACTGCTTCTGGCCAAGGGACCTGCTCCCCAATGACTGCCCGAATAGCCGCATCTTGACGTATGGGTACGACTCGCACGTCAGTCACTTCTTCTCCGGCGCTGCAAACCAGACGAACGTCGTTGGCCATGCCAGCAGCCTCTTACACGATCTCGAGGCCATCCGCCGGGATGACCCCGGACGACCCATCATTTTCGTTGCTCATAGTCTGGGTGGTTTACTGCTCAAAGAGGCCCTTCGACAAGCCTGTATCCAGGTTGATGATGATGCCTACCTCCGGGATCTCCCCTTACGGGCCGAGCGTGACGAAGACAGTCTTGGCTTCGAAGGCGCCGCTGGTGGCTTCAAGATGATATTCGAAAGTACAGTCGCCACCATCTTCCTGGGCACTCCTCACCGTGGCAGTGAACTTGCCGAATGGGGTCTGATGCTGCAAAAAGCTGCGAAAGCCGCTTGTTTTGATACGAACGATACGCTGCTCAGGGATCTCAGTGTCGACTCTGTGACGCTGAAAACACTCATCACCGGCTTTGCTGGTGCCTATGAGCGGAAGCATTGGGAACTCTACACATTCTGTGAAGGAAAGGCTTTGCACGTGCCATTCTTACCCCGGGAAAAGGTGGTGAGGGACGTCTCTGCTACTCTTGGCTATCACCGTGAGCATGTGGACGTCATCAACGCCGACCATAGGGCCATGTGTCGCTTTCGAGGCCTACACGATCCAGGGTACAAGAAGGTGAAGAATGCGCTCAAGGCATGCATGAGAAACCAACCCGGTAGGACTCCTCTCTCCCTAACGCCTCTGCATATGAAAGACCTGTCTGACCATAGCCGTCACCTCATCTCTTAGGTAGCATTGACGGCATCAAGTTCCGCAAGGCTCTCCGTGAGTTGGATGCCGAAGAAACACGCTGGCGACTTCAACAAGTGGTACCAGCTTTTGAAGACACCTTCGAATGGCTCTATTCTAACAAGCAACTGCGGTTTGTTGACTGGCTCGGCTCCGACGAAGGGCTTTACTGGATTAAGGGCAAACCGGCATCTGGCAAATCGACTCTGCTCAAGAAAGCGTACACAGATGCGCGCACCCAGAAGGCTCAAGTCGCGCTGAGGGCTAAGGGTTACAAATGCACGACAGCCGCCTTCTTCTTCCACGATCGTGGGTCGCCTCTTCAGAAGTCTTTTGAAGGTTTCCTCAAAGCGGTTCTGCATCAAATCCTGAAAGACATACCCGAGCTGCGATCCGTTGTGCACGAGGGCTGGCGATACTTTTATCGCAAATCAGAGCCGTTTACGTGGACCACGGACAAGCTGATCCATGTCTTCGAACACGTTGTCAGAGAAACCAACTTCAACACATCCATACTTCTGTTTGTTGATGCGCTCGACGAGTTTGAAGGCCGGTATCAAGACGTCGCCCGGTTCCTGCACACGATTTGCTTAGACAGTCAGCGGAGCAAGAACGTCCGGGTCAAGATCTGCATGACCAGCCGCCCGGAACAGGTTTTTCTGGATAACTTTACCCATGTTCCAGGATTCTGGATCCAGGATCACACTGCCGGCGATATACAGCGCGTCGTCGACGTTGAATTCCAGTCCAACTCTAGGGTCGGCCGAGAGCTTCGAGACGGCACTGCGACCCAGAAAGGCGCGATTGACAGCCTCAAGGGGCAGATTACTCGTATGGCCGAAGGCGTCTTTCTCTGGGTCCGATTGATTCTTGAAGAGCTCCTTGGCGACTTCACGGACGGGTCCAGCGTTGAAGAAGTCGCCGAGGAGTTGACCCAACTCCCGACCGATCTGACGCGATACTATCAATACTTGCTCGAGAAGAGGATTCGGCAAAAGTACATTCGGCAGTCAAGAGTCATGCTCGACATTGTCAAGTGTGCGAAGCGACCTTTGGTCCTTTCCGATTTCCTTCTGGCATATCGCTTTGCCGCCAAAAGTGACTCGGAGGTTCCGGGTTCTCGCTTCGCCAAGGTCGACACATCGTTCGATGAGGCAAAGAGGTTGATCCAGAGCCGATGCGGCGGCCTTGTTGAGCTCAAGGAAGTCCGGCTGGAGAAGACGGAGCGCATCTATGCATGTTCGGCCTTTTCCGATGACCAACTGGAAGACTATCACGTTCAGTTCCTGCACCAGACTGTGAAGGCCTTCGTGGAGAAGGCTTCCTCGGTCCCCACAGACAGTGAAGATGAGACGCCCGTGAATGGGTTTCTGTACTTGACCAAGCTGGGGCTGCTGACGATTGGCGACTCGGCGTGGCCGCGATACTCGCCATCTTTCTCTTTTCAAAACGATTTCTTGTCGTACCTTAAAGGCTCGGAAGATGCTGGTGTGACAGATATGTCTTGTCTTCTCTCTCAGGTCAGCATTGCAAAGATTCTGGATGCTTTCAACCCTTGGGCCACCGAGCAGTACCTCCCACCACCAAAGAATCTTGCTGGTATTGCCATGCTGGCCGAGACGCCGAGGTTTCTGGCACACGAGCTATCGCTCCTGTCAGGGGAAGAGGCATCCAAGGTATTCGTCCTGTTCTGCAGGTATCTTTCAAAACGCTGGGAAACCGTTCCCAAGGACATAGCCAGCATTCTTCTCAGGTACAGCACTTCTGCGCAGCTCATCATGCAGGCTGTCAGGCATAGCTTCGTCGATGCAGCCAGCAAGGATGGCGTGCTGGAGAACCAGCTGTATCTTTTGCGAACGATACTCGAAAAGGGTGTTCATCCCGACACGCCTATCCCCCTTGTGGTGGGCAAGGTTTCTGCAGGCGGCAAGTCGATCGGTTGGAACACGTTTATGCACACAGAGGTCTCGAACCCGTTGCCGCGCGAGGTCTTGGAGCTCCTCCATCAACATGGCTCCAATGTCAATGCCAGGGACCACAAAGACTTGACGCCCCTCGACCACGCGGTGTCGCAATTTCTCACCGCGTTCGACACCATGTACAGCCTCCGCGGGGGAAACGTCCCGACGGCGCGAAAGGATGCTTACATTCGGAAACTTGACATATGCCGCTTCTTGCTCGACAACGGAGGTCGCATGACGACCAGGTCTGATCAGTTCTTGTGGAACATTTCAGCGGAGACACGCGAGGAGATGACGGCGCTGGACATACCCGTCGAGCCGAGACTTCCCTTTCCTCCAAGCATGAGGCCAGGGGAGAAGTTCTTCTCCGGAGAAACGGGACATCCCTCTGGTGGTACAGAAATGTTGGAGGATTCGGCTTCAGAGTCATCCGAACAGACCGAGCCTCAAGATATGAGCTGGGCTGAATATGGTGTGCAGCAGGCACGGAGCCTTGCGTGGTGGATTGTTTCCGCAGGGCGGGGTGGGGGCGATGAGGTTGCTCTGTAGACGATCTGTACAACAAGTCATGTAAAAGCCCACAAGATGACGAGTTGGCTGTTGCGTCGCATGGTACCGGAATGATATTGATCGTTTCCCATATCTGGTGATTGACTGCAAAAGCAACAGACGAGTGGCTGTGACGGTGGAAATGTCCTCTGCACTCGGTGTGTCTCGGTGACAGTCCAAGTGCAGTTCAGTTGCCAATCGTCGTTGAAGAAAGTGCACGGGCCAGCATTTCACTCATCCACCACTCGGTTTTTCATGAGATGCAAAGTTGACTGAGCTGAGAGCTGCTCGCAGAGCAGGGTCATACTGATAATCAATACTTGAGCTGAAGAGTACGTTCCTTTGTACCATGGCCAAAGTTGAGACTCTCGTCAAGCTTGGCTCTCCTCGCATCAGCTTCCAAACGGCACGCTGAAGCTCATGGACCCCTCCGTCTCTCTACCCCTCCAACCCCTCCATCCGCCCCCATCCCCTGAAAGCTCCTGACTGACAGACGAACAGCTGCCCACCATGTACATGCTCGCCCCCGTGGCCGGTCACCGCTTCACGGGCCGCGAAGAAGTCTACGTCCTCGACATCCACCGCCTCGGAGCAGGTCTCGCCTCTATCACGTCAGACCAGCAACTTTCGCTCTTCGACCCAGCCCGCCTCGGCGCCGGCCCCATCACCTCCCTGCCGACTGCGCACGGCAACATCAAGGCCCTGCGCCCCTTTGACCGGTCAGCCTCGACCGTCTGCACCGGCGGCGACGACGGCACCGTCGCACTCTGGGACCTCCGCAACCCGCCCTCGAGCGCCCTCGCCGCACGCTTCGCCGCCGCCGACGCCCCCCTCACGGCCCTCGCCTGCGACGCCGCCTCGCACACGCTCGCCGTCGGCACCGAGTTCGCCAACCACCAGTCCTCCATCGCGCTGTGGGGACGTGCGCGGCGCGTCCCCCGCGCCGCGCGCCCGCTACGCCGAGGTCCACAGCGACGACGTCACCGAGCTGTGCTTCCACCCGGCCGAGGCGCCGGGCATCCTCCTCTCGGGGTCGACCGACGGCGTCGTCAACGTCTACGACACGCGCGCCGCCGACGAGGACGACGTCGTCGTGCAGACGCTCAACACGGGCTCCGTCCACCGCGCCGCCTTCATGAGCGCTTCCGAGGTCTACACGCTGACCCACGACGAGAAGCTCGCCGTCTTCAACCTCGACGCCGGCTACGAGAAGGGCACCCCCGTTGCCGACTTTGGCGACGTGCGCGCCGAGCTCGCATGTCAGTACGTCGCTAACGTGACGGCCAAGGTGGACGGCAGTGGCGCCATTATCGGCGTTGGATCTCAGGAGTATGTTTTCTATTTTTGTCTATTTCTGCCCCTTCTATTTTGCTCCTTCTATTTTGCCCCTTCTATTTCTCCCCCCTCTCTCTTTGTGCGTGCGTGCAGATGCTGACGGGGGGCAGTCGACAGAATTTCCAGCTCGTGCACCTCGCGCGGGGGAGCGAGAAGAACAGCTGGGTCTTCGACCGGGCGTCGAGTGTCGGGCTGCCTGGCGGCCACGGGGAGGAGATTGTGCGGGCCTTTTGCTTCTACGACGACGAGCAGGTCGTTTTTACGGCGGGCGAGGACGGCTATATCAAGGCGTGGAGGCCGAATTAGAGGATACCCAGACAAACGATGAAATCAAGAAGAGTTAGAAAAATGAAAAAGCCTGTGTTGCACTGGGGATCAGCAGGAATCCAGCAAAATACTGTCAACGATGCGACCAGACCAGATGGGTGCCTCGAAAATGGTCACAAAACATGTCATAAAACATGGTCAAAAACATGTCACAAAACAGGGTATCATTTTTCGAACAAGGGAACAAGAGCCCCCCTCAACCAAACTTATCATGCTTGCTCTTCACCTTGAACATGAGCAGCTGCTCGTGATAGTCGCCCTCGCGCCTCGCCCTCTTGAGCCTCCGCACCTCGTCCTCCTCGAGCTTGCGGCCGACGGCGGCCTCGAGCTCCTTGCGGCTGATCCTCTCCTTGGCCTTCTCCTCCTTGGACGCCTTGAGGCGCGGCTTGAAGCGCGCCTGCATGCGGATGCGCAGCGTCGAGGCAAAGGACACGGCGTCGGCGTCGCCGCGCACCTCGTGGGCCGCCTTGGACCCCGTCGACGGCGTGGCCGTGACGAACGTGTCGCGCAGCGTCTGCAGCTGGAAGGTGCCGGGCGTGTCGGCCGTCGGCAGGATGTGGAAGCACTCGAGGGGGGAGACGGCGTCCGAGGCGGCGGAGAGGGTGCCGTTCTTGTCGCAGCCGAGATATCTACGGTCGAGTCAGCGAGAGGCGTCTCCTGCAAAAGAGGCAGAAAGGAAAGGATGGAGTGACGCACTTCCCGTGGTGCCCCTTGAAGCGAAACTGCTCAGTGCCCGACACCTTGTTGGCGACCCAGACCTGCCTGACGTCGTGGGGCTCGGCGGTGGCCGGGTTGCCGTCGACCATGTTCTCCAACTCGAGGCAGAAGACCTTGCCGACGGCGTCGGTGGCCAGGGCCGAGGGAGGGTCGGTGGGCAGGACGAACATGACGGGACCGACTACGTCGGCAGTGGTGTCGGCCGAGACCCAGCTGTCGTCGCTGTCGGGATTCTCGGCGGCGGTGACGGATGCAGAGGCGGAGGCGGAGGCGGACGCCGGCACGAGGCTCGACGACTCGGCGTCTGGGCCGTCGCCCTCGGTGGCGGGGCGCTTTCTCTTCTTCGGCTTCTTGTCGCCTTTGAAGGATAATGGCTTGACCATGTCTGTGGTGTCTGTGTGGGAGGATGGGTTTTGCGCCTCTGTTACTGCTGAGAGAGGCAGCTCGGAGGTGGAATGGTTTGGTTTCGGAGGGACGGGGGGGGGAGACGGGGCTCGGCGGGCTCCGTAGGCGGAGGATGGGCAGGTTTGTTCAAGATGGGGTCGGCGATGGTCTACATTGGAGATAGATGCAGGCGGGATTGGGGTGAAGGTGGAGAGTGGAGAGCCGGGGAGAGGCAGCCTCGCATTAGCTAAGCGACGAGCCCTCCCTGTAATGCCCTGTAATCTGTACGCTGTAACCTTGAACGAGGGCTGTAAGGCCTGCCCTGTAAGGTCTGCCCTGTAGCGGAGCCTTGGCAATCGGCGTACCACCCCCACCTTGCTTGACGATGTTAGCCCGAGCCGCGCGAGGGGTCATTCGGCCAAGTTCAGATACTAAGAGGGAAGGAGGATCCTGACCGAACTACAAACTTGTTACAATCCCCCGTCCATCCACTCTTCTCTTGACTTTTTTCTTTTCTTCTTGTCTCAAGCCCTCCTGTTTTGGTCTATTTCTCTTACATAGGTCCGGACGATTGTTGATACCCATTTACACAATGACCACCCCCCAAGCGCAGGCAGTGACCGTGTCGCTGAACGATCTCAAGAATGGTGGCATCTCCTCGCATCTTCATCGCCCTATGAACGTGTCACTGACAAGAGGACCCCAGGAACTGTCTCCTTTGAGACGCTGCAGAGCGCGTTCGGCCCCGACTCGCTCGGCATCCTCGTCGTCAAGGATGTCCCCGCCGAGTTTGCCCACCTCCGCCACCAGACGCTCTCCTACGCCTCCTACCTGGGCAACCTGGGCGCCGACGAGCTGAAGAAGCTCGAAAACGTCAAGGCCAAGTACCTCACCGGCTGGTCGCTCGGCAAGGAGCAGCTCAAGAACGGCCAGGCCGACATGTTCAAGGGCTCGTACTACGCCAACTGCGCCTTCTACAACGACGCCAGCCTCGACTGCGCGCGCCCCACGGCCGAGTTCAACACGGACAACTTCCCCGAGTACCTGTCGCCCAATGTGTGGCCCGACGAGACGGCGCTGCCGGGCTTCAAGCCGAGCGTCGAGGCCCTGTGCCGCCTCATCATCGACACGGCCGTCCTCGTCGCCCGCGCCTGCGACCGCTTCGCCGCCGAGGAGATCCCCAACTACCCGCCCGGCTACCTCGAGCACGTCGTCAGCACGAGCAGCACCACCAAGGCCCGCCTGCTGCACTACTTCCCCCAGACCGAGGCCGACGAGGCCGCCAGCGGCGCCGACGCCGACGATGACGACTGGTGCGCCACCCACCTCGACCACGGCTGCCTGACGGGCCTCACGTCGGCCATGTTCATCGACGAGCACAAGACGTCGCCCGCCGTGCCGCCCGCCGACGCCCTGCGCTCGACGACCGCCAGCCTGCCGCCGCTCGAGGAGCTCGCCAGCAGCCCCGACCCGGGCGGCCGGCCTCTACATCAAGTCGCGCACGGGCGAGACGGTCCAGGTCAAGGATCCCGCGCGACTGCATCGCCTTTCAGACGGGCGAGGCCCTCGAGGCGCATCACCGACGGCAAGTTCAAGGCCGGGGCCGCACCTTTGTGCGCGGCGGGCGAGCCTCGGTGAAGCGACGGCCGTGTGGCGCGCAACACGCTCGCCGCCTT